GCCTCTCCACCCTCACAGGGAAGAATTTCTTTCCAATATCCCATCTAACCCTGCCCTCTGGCAGTGGGAAGCCATTCCCCCTTGTCCTGTCACTCCAGACCGTTGTCCAAAGTCCCCTAGTTCTCCTGGAGCCCATTTAGGCACTGGAAGGGGCTCTAAGCTCTCCCCAGAACCTTCTCTTTTCCATGCTCAACAACCGCACCTCTCTCAGCCTTTCATTTACCCCAGCAGGGATGTGCCTGGAGCTCAGAGAATGGCCAGACATGGGTGTTCAAAAAAACCTTTTGGAGCACAGAATCCACACCATTGCATCCGGCAGGGAAGGCTGGGAAGCTCAAGGTGTCCAGGAGCCAGCAAAGGCTTGAACTGAGCAGTGGGCACCTTCTCCTGCGCAAAACTTCCTGTATGCGATTCATCCGGATTCCAAAGAGGGAAACACCAGATCTTTTCATTAAGTGGAACACTGCAAGGAACAAAACAGAGGTGTCACTTCTGGAAAAGGAAAGCTGATGGAGGTTTTTGATGTGCAAGTGTTGCCAAGGTGAGAAGAGCTGCTGTAGTTTGATAAACAGATCCAAAACATTTAATATGGGTCAGTTCAACATGACACTTCTATGTCTCTGGTGCTGTACTGCCTCACTAGTGCTGGGGTTCTGAAGCCAAAAATGCTCAGCTCACTCCTGAAGTCACCTTCTAAGTCCATGGATGATGCAGAGTGGAAGTGTCAGGGATGCCAGGAAGAGCTGAGCTGTGGCCATCAGGAATGTGGCAGCTCTGCTGTGGCAGAGCAGAGATGAGAACCCAGGTGATGATGATGATGAGCAGGAGCTCACCAGCCCTTGGAAGTAACAGCAAGGTCAGGGATGCCAGAAAGCACCAGTGAGAATCCTCTCTGGGGAGATAAGCAGTTTGGCAGGAATTGCTTCTGCGGGCCATGGCAGCTGTCATCAGGGCTTTGCTCATCCTCAGGGATTGTTATCCCTTTGGATTTGTGCATGGGCCCATATTGCTCCTGTGGCTGTCAGGCCAGGAGTCAAGTCAAGTACAGGTTTGAAATCTCCATGGTGTGGGGGAAGTGAAGTGTCCCAGTGTACTCACTGGGTATCCCAGGACACCCCAGCTGCTGGGGTTGTTGGCAGACCCTCCATGGAGAGGGTATAGGTGGCTGGGCAGTGCCTCAGACTGGTGGGTAGTGCTTTGCCAGCCAGACGAGAAAGGAGCACTGGTTGTTGTTCAAGGATGGGATCCTGGAGCCTGCCTATGTCAACACGCTGCCTGCAGCCTGCTTGGGTCACCAGGATGGACTAGGGAAAGTAGAAGTGTTGAGAAGCAAGTTTGCATTCCTCTGGACCACCCGGAGCTCAGGCAAGACCTCCCCTTGGCATGGATATGGGACTGTTCAGTGTTGTCCTTTGTTTTCCAGAGTCACCAGCAGGAGTTTACATGGATCAACAGGCAGGGAAGGCAGGGAGCAGGTAGCACCAAGCAGCGATTGATGTTCTTCAGAGACAGTTGGCACTGTCTCTGGGCTGCAGGACTTGTCTCCCACTGGTTTGAAGCTACAAGGAGGGCTCACGGGACAGGACTCGAGTCTGGGTCAGTGCCCGATCCCATCATGGCTCAGCTGATGGAGCAGGAAACACATCTTCTCCCTGGCTATGGGCTCATGCTGGGGCCAAGGGGGCTGACAGGAGCTCTAGGCTGGGGTGGTCCTGAGGAACTGGATCAGTGCTGGCAGGGGGGTGAGTGGAGAAACCCTCTGTTGTCCGCTGTGGGGGGTCCAACCGGCCCCAGGGGTTGAGGCTGGGTCATGGGGCGAGCACAAGGAGATGTGGCAGGAGCTCCATGCCTGTCTCTCAGAGGGCTGGTGGTGTGGGTGGGACCTCTGAGACTGTCAGAGCTGGCTCCTGCTCTTTTGCAGGTGGCGATGCCTTTTTGTGTTTCTGACATAATTGCACTGGCGTAACAACGCTGATGAGGCTTTTTTTGACAGTGCTTCCTACTTGTGCTGAAGGCTCTCCGCCCCCTCACTGCAGATGGGTTTAGGCTGCACGAATCTGAGCATGATGCTTGGGAGGAATCCCTGGAAGTGCTGCACTCTGCCTGCCAGCCCAACCCTGCCCTTGCTGGGCCACATGGGCTCCCTGCTCCCAGCACAAGGGCACAGGCGAGGTTTTGACAAGTCCTTGTGTCCTTGATACCCAGAGGAATGACAATATTGTTGCTCCAACACTTTCAGGTCCTGGTCCTTCTCTCTCCTTGCAGCCCCTGGCAGCTCTGCACAGCCCTGGTCCAGGTAGTGGTTGGCACTGCCACGTCCACAGGCTGAGCTGGGCCTGGGTCCTGGGCCATGGGCCTGGCTGTGCTAGAATAACCTCGCACAGAGATTTCCCCAGTGATGCTAAACTTCCTCTCAGGATACCTGTTGCATGTTCTATCAAGGCGCCCCAATGCATCTCAGTGCACATGAGGGCCAGCAACTGGGGGAAAAGGGGCTGCGAGCAAAGGCTGCTCTGCTCATGGCACCAGCCCAGCAACACAGCACTGAGGACTGGTCTCCCATGGCCAAACTTTCTGGCACCTAGGCACGGCAGGGGAAGTTGCCTAAATGGAGTGGGATGTGTTTCCTGCTCCCCAGTAAATGAAAGGGAGGGAAATGAGGTAGTAGCAAACCCATTCCCACTGCATCACTCCTCAGCTGGGCTCCTGTGGGTTGCAAAATACAGGTCCCATCCCTCACTTCTCCCTGGAGGGCTCAGCTTTGAATGGCCGACAGCTGCTGACAGAGGGGGATAGGGAAGATCTCCCCCAGGAAGCAGGGAAGGGTGCTGCTCCATTAGGCCTTTGGGAAGGCTGCGCCAGGCCAGTGATGCCAGAAAGCTGCTCACTGGTCCAGCCTGGGCTGCACATCTCAGGTCTTGCCTCTTGAGTTTTGGGGCCACTCAAGGCTGGGTGTGCACCTGAGCTGTGCAGCCCCAGATGCTTCCCAGTGAGTGAGTCAGGAGAGGAAGCCATCACCTCTGTGGTGGGATGTCTGATGAGTCAGAACTTCTGTAGGCTTCTCTTCAGACCCACTCTGGGCAGCTGTGACATCCAGGGCCCAGGAAGCAGGACAGGCATCAGGGGAGCTGAGACATCTGGAGGGAGGTGGCAAAAGGATGATAGGAGGCATGTCAGCTCATCCTTTTGTTGCCATTCATCATCCTTCACTTCCCCACTCTGCCACCAGCTCCTGGGATGCAGAGGCTGGGCCCCCACACTGACACTGCAGCCCTCTCCGCACCCAGAAAGCTCCCATGGGGATGTGACAACCTGGTTAGACCAGCGACATGCCATCTGCTGCAGATCACATGTAGCTCAGTGGGACCTGGAACAGGAGATGTCCCCCAGCAGAGCCTTGCCAAGGAGGCACATTTTACTGGACGGAAGTGCTATGAAAATTGGTAAAGACGACAGAATCTGGCCAAAGGCTTGTCTGCTGTGAAGTTCAAATGCTCAGCTTAGAATTACAGAATCGTAGAATCTTCTGAGTGGGAAAGGACCCACAAGGACCATTGAGTACAACTCCTGGCCCTGCACAGGGCATCTCAACAATCCCAAAGTGTGCCTGAGAGCGTTGCTCCTTATTTCGTGAGGAAATGCAGAGTTTGGGTGGAGTGAAGCACTCGATATTGAAGGATCCACTTAGCACCAAGCAAATGACAAAACACTGACATTTCGACCCTAGAAGAAACTGAAAACTAATCCCAGATTGAAATGAAATCACTAAAGGGGATGCTGAGTCAGAATTCAGGTTATGGCACCTCCATGTTACTCTGGTGTTGTAGGACTCTGCTTTCAGGAACCTGAACCTGCTTTTCTCATGAGTCCTGCACTCATGTGGTCCTCTCCTTCCTGCTTTCCTCACAGCTTTACCAAGTTCCCCTTGGTTCCTGGTGGTTCCTCTCCCACTGGTACCTCCAATCCTCACTGGAGCTCCCGGGGTAAATATAGAAATAACAAACGCACCATTTGCTTGTGATTTCTGTGGGTTTACTGTTTAAGCATTTATTCTATATAATGTCTCTTAGTTTGGGTTGCACTTAGAAGCCTTGGTGATAAGATAAAAAAATCTTTTTGTGGGAATTTTCTAAGTTTAGAGAAACCCAAACACTGACAGGCTGAGAGAAGCATGGGGTGGCTTGGCTGGAGGCCTCCATGCTTGGTTCCTATTCTGCTTTCTTTCTTTACCATCATCCAGCATCTCTCTCCTCACTGCCTCTTCTCTTGTTCCTGCCTCAGGTTCCTGTTCATCTCTTTCCTTTCTGGTTTTCCGGTTTTCCAATTACCAGTTTTGGCCTGAGCTGACAGCTTAGGGAAGAAAAGAAAAGGTGAATGTTAGCCTTGTTCTTGAATCAAAACACAGTTTTCTAAAGTTCTGAAGGCAAACAAAGGCAATTTCCTTAGAAATCTAGATCCTTCCTCCTCACTTCAATACCCCTTGGAAGTGCTGGCTCCCAGTGTCCTCCATAGCCACCGAGTTCCCCCTGCCCATCACTGGCTCCTGCTCCCTCTGCTTCCCCCAGCAAATCCCTGGCCCTGGGAGCCTCAGCTGCAGAAGCTGAGCTCAGCACCTGCTGCACTGCAAGACCCAGGACCTGCAGCCATCAGCCCTTTCTGGACCACAATGGTTGAAAACTGCAGGTATCCAGAAATCCCAGCATCCTGAGGGCCTTCCTCTTCTCACTCTGTGTGTCCCATTCCCTTCCACAGGCCCCTCCCCAAACCCAAGCACTGGATCTCCTCTCCATGGTTCCTCCCATGGAAAGAGGAACCACCTCTTCCTCCTCACCGTCACCTTCTCTTCTTACCTTTCTTCCTGAAGCATCGAGTTGGAAGCCCAGTGGTCCATCAGTAGTGGAGACTGTTTTAAGGTATCAAGTCACACAGGCCATGGCACGTGAGGGTAGAAGCATGCAAGAGTCTTTTGTGAAGTCTGGCAAAAGCTGGGATAAATACCTCCTGCATCTGAAGAGCCAGGAGGTGTGGTTGCTCTGACATGCTCAAGAACTTGTTTGATATAACCTGACCTGTAAGAAAGAGCAAGAAAGGTTGCTCTGCGGTGCCTTGGATGGACTTTCCACCCTCAGCACCAAGCTGAGACTGGAGAAAGACACTAACTTGGGTAGTGGGACATCTCCGTGGGGCTAAGGAAAGCCATGGAGAAACTCCAGAACTCTATAACCCATCAGTGCTGAAGGCAAGACGGGGAAGGACTGAAGAGGGGACATCCAAGGAAGCTCCAGGCAGTGTCCCATTGCCCCTGCACTGTGCAATGGGAGCTGCAGGCTGTGCCAGATTTAGCAGAGATTTGGTGGTGCCCAGCCTGGATCACCAGCCCCACAGGCAGAGCAGATGCCACTAAGACATTACAAGGCACCTCATTAACACTCATTAAGGTATATCCAGCTCCTGTAAGGTATTGCTAATGGGCAGCAACAGAGGTGGGGGTGCACCAGTGGACACCATGCCAGAGTCCAGCCCTGAACACCTCCAACTCTCCCAGCCTGTCTCCATAGCAGAGGTGCTTCAGCCCTCAGGGCATCTCTGTGGTCCTTCCTCCTCTTTTTGCAGTCCCAGGAGCCTGCCCAGAGCCTGTCCAGCCATCCCTCATCTTCCAACGTGTGCCACTATTACAGCAAGGGAGAGCAGTGCAGATGGCATGAGGAAAACAGCAACATACACAATCTGGCCAGGGAAAGCTGATAGGAAGCAGAGTCCTTGGGAGAGCTGAGCAGAGCAGCAGGTGGAGGTCCCTGCACCAGCCATGTTGGGGGATGAGGGAGAATGGTCTCCAGCTTGGAAATGCCCCAGGGCACACTTATGACATTTGTTCTTTGATCCCCAGCCCCTCCAAAGTCTGGCTGTGCGAAGCTTGTTGTGTTACAGCCAAGAGACTTCCTGCTGTAGCATCTACAGTCCGTAAAAAATGAGGCTGTAATGGGGATTGGGAGCCCTCAACTTGGTGGGTGGCATAGCCAAGTCACTTCCCCCATCTGTGCATTGGTGTGTCCACCAGTAAAACAACAGGAGACACAACTCTGCCTCCCTTTCAAATGGATGGAAAACACCATCTCTGAGCTGTGCAAACACTGCACGTTCAAGACATATCCTATAGGATATGTCTTGAACACACACAGGAGCCTTTCTTTTCTCAGGACTGTTTCCCAAAGCAGGTACTGAGTGTGTCTGGGGAAGCAGCCTGGGCAGCGGTCACGTTCCCAGCTGGAATACTGGGAACAGAGCAGTGCAGCACTCTCATCATAAAACTGTAGTCTACTCAGAGAAGGCTAAAAAACCTGGCAGGAAATTACAGGCATTACATGAGCAGACATGCAATTTGGAATACAGCCATGTTTGAGCAGCTATCAAAGCTGTCAGAAAACAGGGAAGAGTTAAATGTAAGATTGAAATGAGAGTCCAGACAGAGAGAAAAAACAGAGGGAAATGGGAGAGACTCTGAGTGCCAGATGTCGGCTGTCAGAGTGGGTTCCCATGTGATGGGAAATACAATGACATGTCCAAATGGAGACTGTAAGTGAGGTAGGAAGGTCCAGTTTGCAGCCAAGAGGTGCCAGGCTGAGGGCTGGCTGTGCCCACTTGTTTCCCTGGCACTTGACCACATTTTTAGTGATACTTGTTAATTTTTTTCCTATTAATCCTTGTCTCATTCCATGGATGGGGAGGACTCCCCCAGTGAGAAACCAAGGAGAGGGAGCTGCCCTTTGTCTGAAGGAGCAGCAGGAATGCATGGAGCTCTGCCCTGGGATGGATAATGAGTCAGTCAAGAGTATCCTGGTTGGAAGGCAAATTGATGTGCTCCTGGTGCTCAGGTGATGTACTCCTGAATGTCTGCTATAGACTTCCATATCAGGAAGCAGAAGATGAAGTTTTCTTCAGACACCCAGAAGAAGGCTCCTGTTTGCAGGGCATGGTCCTCATGGAGGACCTTAATGCCTGTGATACCGTCTGGAGGGACAGCACAGCAGGGCACAGGCAATCTGGGAGGTTTCTGGAACACTCTGGCAAGAATTTCCTAATATGGGTGACAAAGATCCAAAGAGGGAAGGCACTGATAGACCTGTAAACATGTTGAGGAATGTGAAGGATGAGGGCAGCCTTGGCTGAAGAGAACATGGCATGGTGGAGGTTAGAGTCCTGAGGGAAGGGAGCAGAGAAAAAGGCAAGATCACAAACCTGGACTCAGGAGCGCAGATTTTGGCCTCTTGAGGGATCTGCTCAGAAGAGTCCACAGGATGCAGTCCTAGCTCTCTAAGGTGTCCAGGAAACATGATTCAGGATCAGCTACTCCACTCCCCTCTGACAAACAGGTGTAATGCTGGGGCCTTTAGAACTGGCTCTGAGCCAAAGCTGACTCATAAGATGAACTCTTCAACCTAATATTATATCTAGCCTAGTATTGTATTTAGCCATATATCTGCTTATTAACCAAGATGCTATATAATCCTTAGTAATGCCTTAAGAATATACATTTATGCTTGTTAGCACAGCATGTTATCATTAATTAGTAAGGCCTGTATGTGTTACAAATATGCCTTTTCTTTGCAGCCAAGGTCGCGAAAAGTGGTAGGGCCTCACGTAGTCGTAGCTGGTTCATATTTGAGATATCAATGTAGCCGTAAGTTCTGTATTTAGTGACTAGTCAAGGCCATAGGGCATTTGACAGTAGATGGCCCAAATCGACTCCTGCAGTTTCCCTCTGCGCCCTGGCCAGGCCTAAGGGGAATACCAATAGAGGAAGAAAGCCAGGTTGTTTTTCCGCACCAATTGAATGACGTCAGCTGGTTTGTTTAATATATGTAAGCTGGACCCTCTCACAGCAAAGATGGAGGCTTCACCTGCAGGTGGACACACTGCATAGGATTTCCCAGTTACTGGGAAGAGGTTCTCCAGACCTTCGCTGTGACCGGGGCCTTTCCAGCTGAAGTGTGATCTGGATGACGACAACTACTTAGTGTAACTGGTGAGGTATCTCTCTCTTAATCACTGTAAGTCTTTGTAGTAATGATTAGATGCATTGCTAAGTGTATCCTTTCATAAGTCACTGCTTCTTTTGTAATTCTTTACTGTCTTGCACTATAGTAAACTTTTACACTTATTCTTTAAAGTTGGTGTCTGTGTTCCTTCAATCCATCCTCATTACTGGGGGAGGGAGGGGGCAAAACAGATTGGCAAAACAGCAAGTAACCAAGTAAAAGTAGCAGGGGCTTGAACAAGGCACTCCTGACAAAACCCAGGCATAAAGAAGAGGTGTAGAAGAGGTGTAAGCAGGGAGGACAATGCACGGGGAATCCAAAGACGCTGTCCGGGTGTGTTGAAAGCCAAAGTCCACCTAGAGCTGAGTCTGGCAGGGAACAAGAAAGGCAACAAGAAAGGCTTCTACAGGTACACCAGCAGCTACAAAGGAGATGGAGGGACTGAAGCATCTTTCATATGAGGAAAGGCTGAGAGAGCTGCGACTGCTCAGCCTGGAACAGAGCAGACTTGTGAGGGATCTTATTAATGGATATAAATAACTGGAGCTGGATGCAAAGGGGATAGATCCAGGCTCTTTCCAGTGGTGCCCAGCACCAGGAGAAAAGGCAACAAGACACAACCTGAAATACAGAAAATCTTTCCTAAACAGTAGAAAGAGCTGTTTTACTGTGAGGTTGTTGAACACAGGAGTGGGTTGTTCTGAGGGGCTGCAGAATCTTCATCACTGGAGCTACTCAAAGCCCATCTGAAGATGGTCCTTATCAACCTGCTCCCCTTGGCCATGCTTTGGGAGGGGTTTGAATTATGGAATCACAGAATCATTTAGGTTGGAAAAACCCTTTAAGATCATCAAATCCAACCATTAACCCAACACCTTGTTCATCACTAAACCATACCCCCGCATACCACATCCACATGCTTTTTGAACACTTCCAGAGGCGGTGATTCCTTGGGCAGCCTCTTCCTATGCCTGACCACTGTTTCTGTGGTGAATTTTTTCCTGCTGAAGACAGCTCTAGCACTGCTTTCTAACCTCAGCAACTCTGTGGATCTTTGTTTGGTCAAGTAATTTATCTAACATCACCAGATACGTAAAGAAAGGGCTGTGGATCCTCTGTGATACAGGAAGAGGCCCCACTCCTCTGGTGGTCTTCCAACCTCTTCAGCTCTGCTGATACATGGCTGTGGTGTGCAGGATCCCAAATCCAGCCTCCCCTGGAGAGATGGACGCATGTCCTGCCACCAGCACAGACTCTGGTCCTGCCATGCTGTGAACACAGGCAGCAGGTTGTGTTCCAGCTGGGACACTCCTCCTGCCACACTGGAGCCTCCCTGCGACGTGGCTCCGACTCCCTCCCCACACACATGCAGTGGCAAGCTCATTGCAAGGTTTTAGGCTGCTGTCCACTGAGCAACTCAGGAATTGTTTTCTTTTTCTCTTCCTGCTCCAAGGCCCATTAGAGCCTGGAAATACCCCCAAAACACCCCAGTAAGGTTCTAGAAGTATGGAGGGAGCCCAGCTCAGATATATCGTGTCAGTAACTTGTATTAAATTAAACCAGAGAAATGATCGATCTGAATCATGAGCACAGCCAGAGGTGTGGAAGGGAGAGGAGTGTTCTCAGAAAGGCAGGTCAGCTGAGAAACAAGGGCAAGTGCAAGCAAGGAGGAAAAGGGGCTCTGATGCCACTGAAGTGCAGGGACTGCCTGGCTGGAGCAGAGGTCAGTCCTGGACAGCTGCTCTGGGCTTCAGGGAGAGGGTCAGGAGTGACTCTGGCCCTCATCAGAGAAGTGGGCTAATGCTGTATTGACACAGCAAAGACAGCATGGATGGAAGAGAACAAAAACCACAGAGTCAAGCCTGGCCAGATGTGCCAGACCTCTAGGTTGGGAGAAGAGAAAATGTAGAGGTAATTAAGGCCTATAAAAGAACATCCAAAAAATCCAGATCCATCTTAAGTGAGGGCAAAGGGGGTTAACTGCAGTCATTAAGGGGAATACTCATGAGAAAACCAGGGAACTTTGGCCTGTTTTGATCTCGCTTCTGCTCATACCAGAGTTTAAATCATCAAGCGTGAATGGGATCTGCTTCCCTGCCATCCCTGGGCACAACAGCCTTGTACCAAGGTCAGCAGTAGAGAGAGCTGGGGCTACATAAGGGGAAACTGAGGTATGGCAAGGGGGTGGTACAAACATGGGTCATTCTCCACCTCCTGTGAACAAGCCTGTCCATGAGGTCATGGTGTTCAGGGGTTGGTAGAAGCAGCTCCCTTACACTTGCTCTCCTTCTCTCTCAAAATAAAGAGGATGACAGGGGGACTGGACCAGCCCAGTGCTGTCTCCTCCCACATCTTTGGGATGATTTATGATGATCCTTCCCTGCAGAGCCTTGCACCCTGCCAAGGTCCCTTCTGCATAGTCAAGGGCCACTGTGCTGTAGCTTCTCCCAGCTTACGGCAGTGGAGATCTCACACTGCTATTGTCTTGTGCATGATGGTTGGGAGACATGAGTAAAAACAGTATTCAGCTGTGACACCAGAGAGCAAGGAACCAGAACATTCAACCACGGTAATCACAACCTTATAGAGTTTGCTGGGCTGCTGCTTTTCCAGTTGGCTCGCTCCAAAGGCACGGCCTTGAGGCTGCACCCCTAAGCAGTGTGCAAGCAGGCCCATAACCCCTCCTGATGCCAGGAGGATCATGCCCTCCTCTCACCCAAGTGCACTCATTTGGGCTGGCTTTCAGGGCTCCCCTGTTGTGACATGATGGGGAAATATTCACCGCAGCACTCAGGGCCGGCAGCCTCTCACGTGTTACCCCAGACACAGCCCAGCAAACTCAGACTGTGGGTATGGGTGTTGTGCCCCAGGTGACCTCCCCGTCCCAGGTGGCTTTCAGTGACATCCTGAGAAGAGGCAGCCAGCTGGGCTAGTTCAGTCAAGGACACCCCAGCAACTGCCACCCATCAAGACTGTCAGGGCAGAAGGTGAGGGTGATCTCCTGGCACCCTGAGGAGAGCACTTTCATGCTCACCTGAGCTCACCTGGCCAAACAATCCACTTTTCCAGCCAGACGACATGGCTCGTGGTGCTTTGAAGGGTTCCCAAGTCAAAGTCCAGGCTCTCAAAAACAGGAGTTATTTTGAACTGAGTAGTCTTCGGACTTTTTAAATTCCTCTTCTCATTTCTAAGAATGCAATTTTCAATCACCTCAGAAGTTCAAGAGCACAAGCACTGGAGTGGCTTCTCCTAAGGAAAAGCCCTCAAGATGAAGTTGTGTTCTCCATTCCTGGGGAAAAACAACAGACATCATCTGCTGGAGATGTGGCTTTTGCTTCTCCTCGTCTGGAGTTTAATCTGCATTCACAACCAAGGTCACCTCGCCCAACACTGGGTTTGAAAGGTGACATGGTGACAAACCCCCTCTCCTGTGCAAGGCCAACAGCAGCTGAGCTGGTGCCACCAAGGCCCCTGCTCAGCTGCATTCCAAGAGCTAACCAAAGCAGTCCAGCAGATCAAGTTGGAAGAATAACTCCTTCAGTCCATATCCCATAAATCTAAATAAGGGATCACAGTTTGTTTGCCAATTCCTTACACTGTGGATGATTGTGGATCACTCACCAGTTCAAGTGTAGGTTTTGATGTGCAAGAGGAGCATGTGCTGTTGACAGAAACAGCTCCAATGTGAAAATCAACAACCAACAGCCTAGAATTGATGGGGTTTGCATCCTTGGGGCTCTCAAGCTCAGCAGGAAACATTGAAGGGAACAGCCCCCCTATATAAGGGCTGCACAATTCGAGGTGCACTAAGAACAATAATCCACATGCAAGGAAACTATTATCCTAACCCCAAGTGATGAAGTGGCCACCAAGGGGTGGCCATGCTGTAGGGTGAGGCTGGTGGTCCCACACAGGGCACAACAACCTCAGGGAACAGGGTGAGAATGCTCAGAGACCATTTGAGCTCTGCAGAGCAGCTGAGTGATGAAAATGCCATCCCCTCTGCCTGAAACAGGTGGTAGAGAGGAAGGAAGAACCATCTGGTTTGCCTTTTTTTTGTTGAATTATCTCCTAAATAAGAAGCTAAGTAAAAGAGAAGACTGGGATTTTCATTTTACAGTGAAATAAGGTACATTTTGCAAGTTGCGCAAAATCAAACTGACGAGAACTGCTCATTGAGAGTGTCGGATTAGTGAGGTGATGTACATTAAAGTGTTTGGAAGCATGAATTGCTCTGAAGAGCTCGGTGTTGCTCTTACTCCGTCTGCTTTCCCCAGCAGCAGGGTTGTCATTTGCAGCTGTGTTTGCAGCAGACATGCTGGTGACTTATTCCTGTGCCGCTCATGGTTCCAGAGGAAACCTAAAGACGCACGCAGATTTTCCCCATCAAGTAACAGGGGGTGCCCACAGCTTCCTCTGGAGTACCTGGTGATAGGCAGTGGCCATCAGGTCACTGGTCTCTCCAGACCAGGAACCAAATTTGTGCTGGGACTCTGGGGGAGCTCCATTAGTGCTTCTTTCCCAGCAGAACCCACAGCAGTTTGCTCCCATGGAGTGAGCAGCCTGGCGAGTAGCTGGCAGCTTCCTCCTCCCCTCCTCAAGGGGCGTTACCCACTCACTGCTCCGGGCACAGGGGAGCTGGTGTTCCCATTGGAAAGAAGCCTCTGCAAAAGGCAGCAGGGTTAAAACGAGGCTCCATTTTCCTGTTCCCAGTCTGCTCTCCAGAGCCTTTCTGTGCCCCATGCCTGGGTGTCTGGCAGGCAATTTACACCACAGATACATGAACATGCAGAGAACCGCTAGCACCGCAGCCTTGCTGGATCTGTGCAGGGAAAACTTCCTCTGGAAACACCAGGGCTCCCCTCAGCCTGCCCTTCTTCCCAGGAGGGGTGTGCAGGGACACAGGGTTTGCTCTGTGCTCCAGGCTCATCACCCCAGCATGGCTCATCCCCAGGCAGTGCTTCCAGCTCTGGGCAGTGGCAGGTTCAGAGCTCTCCAGCCCCTGGAAGGCACCTGGTGAGAGTTCACGCAGAGAGGAAACTGAGGCAGGAGTGAAGTAACTTGGCCAAGGGGTTCCTTGAGCCTCATATCAGTGTTCAAAAAGTGCATGGATGTGGCAGCTGGGGACATCGGTTAGCGATGGGCTTGGCAGCGCTGGGTTAATAGCTGGACTAGATCTTAGAGGCCTTTTCCAACTTTAATGATTCCATGATTTTATGGGTTTTTTTCTTCCTTTCTGGCCCAGCTCCACCAAAACACAATGCCTGGTACTCAGCATTAGCCACACACACTGCAGCAGAGCTGGCAGCATGGGGAGCACCACTCTGTCCACCTCAGCATGGCCTCAGCGCTGTCCCTCCTGACAGTTGAGGGGAAAGGAATCCCTGGGAGCCCTGGAAGAGAGAAGGGAGTAAATATGGAAGGGAGAAAATATGATAAACAAATCCCGGTCATTAAAATGTGAGGTTTGCTTCAGTTTCCTTCTCTCTCAATCTGGAGGGATTAGCACCAGCCAGACAAGAGACCTGTCAAGGCACTTATAGCAGTGCTGCTTAGCCTGGCCTCCAGCTGACTTCCAGCCAGGATGATTTCTGAGAGACCAGCATCTCCCTGCAGCACTCTCTGAAAATATAACAAAAAAGGAGGGTCAGGGAGGAAGCTGCTCTGGAAGCTTTTCTTACACAAAGAATGGCTCTCCATCAGCAACACCGCTGGGCCCTGACAGCCATGTCCCCAGCTCACCTGGGAGCACTGCCAGCACAGCCACATTTCCACAGATCCTCAGAGCCTGCCAGGCTTCCGGCACACACAGAGCATGGCCCAGTGTGGTCCCTGCCCCAGCATCCTCCCAGGACACGTGCCACAGGGCAGCCATGCTCTCCCTGGGGTGCAGATGTGGAGATGGAGCAAAACGCAACCTTGAGCCCTGGGAATGTGCTGTTTGGACTCTCAGAACAACACGGGTTTTTTCTCAGCTAGTACAGGGGCTCTTTTCCCAGGGATGCTGCTCTTGGCTACCAGGGCTCTCAGCAGCCTTTCCAGCCTGCCTCTGCCATGGCACGGGAGGAATTATTTTGGGTTAAAGCCAAGCTCTTCACCAAGCTCCAGTAACACAGAATCATAGAATCCCAGAATGGTTTTGGGTTGGAAAGGACCTTGAAGCTCATCTTGTTCCTTGCCCTGCCATGGGTAGGGACTCCTTCCACTATCCCAGGTTACTCCAAACCCCATCCAACCTGGCCTTGAACACTTCCAGGCATGGGACAGCTACAGCTTCTCTGGGCAACCTGTGCCAGGGCCTCCCCACCCTCACAGGGACTAATTTCTTCCTGATATCCGATCTAACCCTGCCCTCTGTCAGTGGGAAGCCATTCCCTCTTGTCCTATCAAGGAGCTCCAGCAGGGATCAGGAGGCTGCAAGGACCATTGCAGGATGGCAGCGCTGTCACTCCACTGGATCACAGACACTTGCTACAGTGTCTGTCCGGGCAGGGCTGGGGCTGGGAGTCCCACAGGGATTAGGCTGATCAGCCATGGTGGAAAGCAAGGACAGCCTCAGGTGTACAGGGGCAGACAGGAGATGTAGGTGATGCCCCTATTCAGCCCAGCTCTGCTGCTGCTTCTCTGGAACCCCAGCTGGTGCTGTCCCAGCACAACAGCACCATACTGGGAGGCCACATACCTGTAGGTGCCACGTCCCCATGCGCAGGGCACAGAGGACTGCTAGGGCTTTTCTGTGTAAGTTAAATGTGTCAAGACAGTGGGCCAAAGGCTCCTTTTCTGTTTCTCTACCTTGCAGCTGCTGATGTGAAGAGCAGCAGCATTGCTGCAACAGTGGACGGTGTGCAGAGCTCTGCCAGGAAGGGGCACAGCTCAGCTGTGCCAGGGTAGGTGGGAGGGAGGGGGACACTGGGAACCATGAGCATGGACAGAGGCGCGAAGGTCTAAGGATGGGGGGAAGAGGTTGTGCCAGCTCTGCCCGTGGCTGTGCCCCTCCAGCACTCCCTCCCTCCAGCTGCACCATGAGGATAACACCCAGGCTGGGAGTTCTTGCCAATACCAAAGCAAGGTCAGCAATCCTTGCTCTCAGCTGTGGAGCCATCCAAATACCCACTGGGAAATAAATGTTAGTCCAACTGTTCAGAGCCTCTGAGCCCCTTTTGGGCTGTCTCTGCCCACTCTCAGTGCTGAAGGCTGCCAGGAGCAAAGGCAGCCTTGTGCATGCTGTGGCACACGTGCAGCCTGTTCTTTCCTTTCTCCGCTCCTTTCTTTCAGCATTCATCCTTCCTAGTGTCCTGCAGCCCTAAACAGCTGTATAAGACTTCCAGTGCAGACAATATTCATACAAACCACATCTGGCCCCCTCGGACCAGCCTGTGCATGGCACTCGGGGCAGGCTCTGGGCTTCTCCAGAAGCTTCTAGAGATTTCCTGGCTTTCACTGACCTGTCCCATCGCTGCAATGAAGGCAAGACTCATTGTCCCTGTTTTACATGGAAGGAGCCATAGGGTTATGTTTTAAGTAAGGCCTGAGATCATGGGTGCCTCTTGATCTGGGTCCCCAAACCACAACTGGCTGAAGTCTCCTTCTCTGCCTCATCTTCAGTGTCAGACAAACCTGGCACACACCAACTGCAATTGTATCTGGCCAAAGCAAAGCAGTGACCATGGCCACTCAGATCTGTCATCCAGAGCCCATCCCCACAGGGACTGGGCCCTCTTAGGGTCATGCTAAATGCTGAGAGCTAAGGAGAAAGTTCAGGCAGGAAGATCAATAAATTGTCATTTTAAAAGGAAGTCTCGGTAGGAGAAGCTGCCTCAGCAGACAGGAGAAGGTGGTTGGCCACATCATTTGGGCCCTGCACAAAAAGAAAGACATTGAACATGCCCAGAGAAGGGAATGGAGTTGGGGAAGGGTCTGGAGCACAAGTCTGATGAAGAGTAGGTGAGGGAGCTGGGGGTCTCAACCTGGAGAAAAGGAGGCTCAGGGAGTTTGGTGGATGTCGGGCTCTTCTCCCTGGTAACAAGTGACAAGATGAGAGGAAACAGCCTCAGGTTGTACCAGAGGAGGTTTAGGTTGGGGATTAGGGAAAATTTCTTCATGGAAAGGGTGGTAAGGCAGTGGCACAGGCTGCCCAGGGCAGTGGTAGAGTTACCATTCCTGGATATAGGGGTAAATGCCCTTTTTCTAGAAGATTTTACTACGAGGAATCAGTTATTTTGCTTAGGAAAAGGTTTCCTGCCCCTTTCTCAAGACAGTTGCTGTTCTCTCTCCTCCATTACAGAGAGATTCTCTCTCTGATATGTGAGGAGAGAGATAACGTTCACGGATATGTTACAGGGCCACCACGGCCCAGAAAGAGCTGGGGGGCCAGCAATAAAAAAGCCTGAAGAAGGAACAGGAGGCATGCCTTCTTAGGCCCAGCACTGTTTGCAGCTGGTGCAGCTTTCCTTTGTAAGTTTTTTAGTGTTCTCGACTTCAGAATAAACCTGTTTGGATTCTTTACACTGCGCTGGCATTTTTGGGGGTACCTGTGCGTATCTTACCTCACACTGGAAGTGTTCACAAACCATATGGTTGTGGCACTTAGGGACCAGGTTTAGTGGTGGCCTTGGCAGTGCTGGGTTAATGATTGAACCTGATGATAGTCAAGGGCTTTTCCAACCTCAGCGATTCCATGATTTACTCAGGACTTGATGCTTTAGGTGAGGTACTCCCAGAGTTTCGAAAGCCTCTTCGTGCTGGTAGGTAGATGTTAACCAGTCTCCAAGGAGCAGCACAGATCACCCTCCCTTCCCCTTTTTGTTCTGGGCTCTTGTCAAGATGAGCTGGGATTGTGATACTGAAACACAGTTCTTATGTCCAAGTTCACCTGTGCCTATCAAAGGAGAATGGAAGCAGCTAATGAAACATTTAATTGCCATGTCTAGAGGGAGAGCAGGAGTTACCTCTTTCCAAAGTCCCCAGGTAGCATCAGGAGTGTGGAGAGAGCTTGAGCTCCCTTTGATATGATAATTTTACCGAATAGGAGAGATGCAAACACAGTCAAAGGGGCTGAGGAAAATCAGACAGGCACAGGAAGGGCTGGAAAACCAGTGTCATACCTCCTGGTTTCTTCTTCAGCATAAGGGAGGTGTAGGTAACTAATAGGCAAATCCCTGGAGTGGAAGGATGCTCTTCCCGAGAGGCAGGGACCTGCCCCAGCACCCAGTGCTGTTTCTTCAGCCCTCACTGCCACCCTTGGAAATGATGGACATCAGAGAGGACAGTGATGGACATCTGCCACGAGGCCTGTGA